GGGCATAAAACTGACTCCCTTATTATGTGGAATTCCCCGCTCATTCTTTAAGACTCAGTTCCATTTCTTCATTAGCTTTTCTCTGGGTCAATTCCAAAGGACCTAACATTACACTATGAACAGATGGCACTGCCTACAGATAAAGGAACAAGTGATGCTGCTAAGCCATCAGTTGCTAAATGATCTTGACAAAACTTAACTAGAGTTTTGCTTGATTTGGAGTGGCATGCTAACGAAATTGGAATTAACTGCTGTCATGGCAACAACTATAGAACTACTATCAGATATGGCTCACCAAGAGAGAATCCGTCTTTTGTAGTCTGGTCCTTCTTTACACAGAAGCTGGGCATATTGATAAGTCAAACAAAATCACACTCTACCAAATTGGGGGGAGGCATAACTCTCCCCACAAACTACTCCAATAGAAACACAGAATAACAGAGTTGGAAGAGACCACATGGGCCATCTAGTCCAACCCCTTGCCATGCAGGAAAAGCACAAAGTACCCCTGAGACATATTCTCAGTATTTTTTAAACACGTTGTGTGTTTTGCTCAAAACCATGGCATCATCAGGGCAATGTCTTAAGTTTAAATACCTTCCTCGAATTAACTCAAAGCCATAACAAGCTTAACTGATTTGAGAGAAAGGCAGACCATAATTGGGGCTCTTGCTCCTTCTCAGCAGTTAATGATTATGTAAACAGAAGCACAGAAATTATTCCAGGTAAACAGAGATGGATGGCGTCCAGTATTCATAGCAAGCAGCTGGTGGAGATACTCAATAACAGGGCGTGGTTGGAACAGCTTGACTGTACTACAAGCTTAACCAAGCATCACTGAAGCCGCTTCGGAATCGCTGACCTCATTAGCCAAAAACTTCAACAAAATAAGCTGCAGTTTATTGCATATACAGTGTAAACACTGTGGTGCACAGAACTAGATCCTATTCAGAACCAGTGTTGACACATGGAAGAAAATATTGGTTTGAAAATAGCAATCTGAATGACTATCCTACTTCTCACCAAATGTGCAGAACACAACCTTGTCATCACCAACACGCTCTTCCACCAGAAAAGCAAGCTTAAGACATTATGGAAGCCCGGTCAAGGCATTGGAACATCTTAGACTATATAATTATATGTGCCACAGACCGCCACAATGTGCTTCTCACAAAAGCCATGGCAAGCACTGATGACTGCTGGACAGGCCACAAGTTAATTCGATCCACAATGACCATCAAGACTGCGTCCAAACGTAGACTCCAAGGAAGAAAAATAGGGCATAAAATAACCACCCAAGCCCTTCAGGAGCCCTCTAAAGGGCGCTTCTCCAAACAACACTCAAGCATCATCTACCCATAGAACACCCCGAAAAAGTTGAGTAACAGTGAAATAAACTGAAGACCTCTATGAACACAACCTGTGAAGAAACCACATGTTTCCTGTTTTGGATACCAAAGCAAGAACTATCAAGACTAGATTGATTTGGATAAAATCTGATGCCCTGACAAATTTGTGAACATCCTGCAGCTACTCCATGACAATATGATGACAGCAATCTTGGACAGCAATGGCTCCCAAAGTGACCCTATAAAGTAGAATTAGGTGTCAAACAGGGATGTGTTATTGCTCCAAATTTATTTTCCATCTTCAACCTTGTTGATAGGAAGCTTCCTATCAGTGTGGAAATCATCTATCAGTTTGCAAGGTATTTAAACTCAGTAGACTGAAAGCGAAAACTAAGGTCACAACGACGTCTGTTATAAAACTCTAATATGCTGATGATAATGTGGTCATTCAGAATAAGACCTACAAGCCAGTCTAAACTCCTTCACAGAAACATACAAAAAGCTTGGCCTCTCACTGGACATTGAGAAAACCAAAGTGCTCTTTCAGCAGGCACCAGTCAATCCCTCTGCAATGCCAAAAGTACAGCTTAATGGTGTAACATTAGAAAACGTTGACCATTTCTGCTACTTTGGCAGCCACCTCTCCACAAAAGTCAACATCGGCACTGAAAAAAAAAACTGCCTAAGCTCTACAAGTGAAGCATTTTTTCAAATGAAACAGAGTGTTTGAGGATCAGGACATTTGTGAGGATACCAAGATGTTAGTTTATAAAGCTATTGTCCTCTCAACCCTATTACACAAGCGAAATATGGACCATCTACAGACATCACACTCAACTTCTGAAATTATTTCATTAGAGTTGCCTCCTGCAAATCTCTTAGGAAGACAGGTGGACAAATATCAGCGTGTTGGAAGAAGCAAAGACCACCATCATTAAGTGACAATCCTCCATCATCAACTTCACTGGTCCGAATGCCCGATCACCGTCTCCCAAAGCAGTTACTATACTCTCAACACCAGAGCGGAAAACAGAACCTCACAACCTCTGAGGATGCCTGCTATAGATGCAGGAGAAACGTCAGGAGAGAATGCGTCTAGAACATGGTCATATGGCCTGAAAAACCTACAAACCTTAAAACGGTGGCATAGACACCAAGATCTGGGAGGCCCTGGCTCTCAAGTGTTCTAATTGGAGGTCAGCTGTTACCAACAGTACTGTAAAATTCGAAAAAGCACAAATGGAGAGTGAAAGAGAGAAACGTGTCAAGAGTAAGGCACATCAAGCCAACACTTGTCAGGACTGTCTTCCATCTGGAAATTGATGTCCGCACTACGAAAGAACATGCGGATCAATAATAGGCCTCTACATCACCTACAGACTCACCACTATGACCTTACACTTGGAAAGCAATCATACTCGACCATGAGTGATAGCCTATGATGATGATATCAACACATTCTAGTAGCTTACATATTGGACTAGGATTCTATGACACTAGGGATGAAATCCTGATCAGTAATGGAAACTCACTAGGTGGCCTTGGGGAATTTTCACTCTCTTAGCCTCAGAGGAAGGCAGTGGCAACATGTCAGGAAAACCTAAGTAGAGTTGGCATGAAGGCACATATCAGTAAATCTTAATGTTTCCTCTCCTAGAAGAGAGGAAAATTGTGAATCTGAACACTAAGTGAGAGTTAAGAAAGAACCTTACTACTGAAAAACCAATTCAACCCTCTGAATACATTATAGACATTGTAGAACTTCTTGTACCCCTGCTTACACTAACCATTTAAGGCAGTTTGAAACTTGGCTTCACAGTACATATGACTACATAGAAAATCCCAGAACCAGCTTGAGGGCCAATGGTGATTACACAAACCAGAGTACTGATCCCTATTAAGGGCTTTCATTCATGCACTTTTGTGATGGTTTGTTGTCTGGCTGCAGCAGTTTGAAGCTAACTTTCAACTGCATGAAGTGGTCAGTGTAAATGGAACCTAACCTGACCATAATTTTCTCAAATCTGGATACTTTCAACTACGAACAGGAGCAAAAACGTGCGAGGCGGGGGGAATGGGCAGCAAGAGTCAGGGAGGAACCTTCAAGGCAAAGTATTGCAGTCCAAAACAATGACAAAACTCAGTCTCCTCAGATCCAACAGATGGCAAGATATAATATTCACTAGCAGGTTGGCTATTACTTGAACCACCCTTCTTCCAGTACAAAGCTATGACTGCAAGATTTTTGAATATTAACTCAAGAATATGGACAGCTAGCATTATAGCTGATACAAATAATAGGGCGCTGTAGTGCATGGAAGAAAACCTACTAGTTACAATAAGACTGCCTCCCATATTATCTGCCCCGTACACCTGAGTCTTCTGATTTTACAGCAGCTAACTAAGAGTAGACTGGCGATGGTCACCAGATAACTTTTTCTTCAGCCGCCCCCAAATTGTGGAATGACTGGCTGGAAGAGATTCAATATCTGAATTCACTGCCTGAATATAAAATAGCAATAAAGGCCTATGTCTTTTTGCCAGTTTTATCCAGGTGATTTTTAAATTATGATTTTTAAATTGGGTATTGATAGTTTTAAAGATATTGTAATTGTCTATGTGTTGATTTTTTAACTGACAGTTCATGTTGTATTTTAAGATTTTGCTTTCCTCTGCCTCAATCTATGGGGAGAGGCAAGTAAGAAATACGGACTACTATTTTTATAAGACACCAAAGAACTGAGCTCCTAATTCCTATCAATTCTAAAGTGGTAGCCAAAACCTACAGACACTTATGAATGTATGTAGTCTCAAATGGTCTTATATGTAAATCAACATGCTGAGAATTGTAAAGTATGATCGTAAAGCCCTTCCATCCAATCTTAGTTCTTAGATTGATCAACTGGTGTCTTCAGACAAAGTGTTATATCTTTGTCTCACATCCTACATTGTCTAGTAGGGGAATGATACTGTAAAATTGTACCAAAAATATGAAATACCTTGAAAATTAACCTACTCCGTTAAGTAGATTTAATCTGTCAAGTAGATTTAATGTCAATCATTGTATGACTGATAGTACATTAGAAAATGGAAGAGGCCACTTCAAATTAAAGTACACACATGCCCAATGGAAAGGCCATACTAAGAGGACGTCATTTTCATCCTAAATTAAGCCACTTGACATATCCATTGCAAATCATAGCCAAAACTACTACACCATAAAGCACTATTAATATCTCCAACATACTTTATCAGTCATGCTAACTACACAAGTGACTTTTTTTTCAGGAATACACATCACAGTTCAATACATTCATTCAAACCTGTCTATACAGTTATTTGTTTTTGGCTTTTTATGGGCCTTATGAGTCTCATATTTAAAGCTTATAAAGGTCCCCAGACCCTGATTTACTGCACAGAAGTGGTAAAAAAGACTGCACAGATCAAGCATTCAGAAGACACTCACATCCTTCCTTTAGAAAAAAAATCAATAGAGGATCATATTTATCAAATTCATTGCAGATCATCCCTAAGAAAAAATCATGAAAGCCAAACAGGCACATACAAATCTACCTAACTTACATTTTTGTAATAGAAAGGAAATAAAATATTAGGGAGAACAATAAGTGCATGCTACAGAGACAAACATACCTCATATTCACAGGTCCTGCTCACCTTCAGACTTTACTATTGCGATTAGAAATATGGGCTTCAGTCCACTTGTTTCATACTTGCATAATACAGGAATACTCAAAGCCTACAATAAAGAATATTCCAATGTGTAACAAATGTTAACATCTCCAGTAAATCAAATCCCATCACAAAGTAGCAGCTCTCACCTGGTAGGCATCGCCTCTCCACAGATGTTTGGCAGCCAGTCTAAAAATGTCTTCTGGGGGAGGGGGGTCTCTTGGCACCCCCCTCCCCCTCCAAAGATCCCACTTGGAAGAGTCAGCGTAAGAGGATAACCCAGAATATTTCTTTGTTTCTTTAAATGTTTTATGCAAATCCTGTTACACCAGGAAGTGATAGGTGGAGATTCCTCTAGTTCTTGCTGCTACTATTAAGAATAGCAGCTTGTCCTTCTGATCCTAAGATCATTTCCATCATGTCTTTAAGGCTCTTGCAGAATCTTCCATCACACAGAAGGGATGACTACCCTTCACCACCAGCCATCAAAGTTGCTCAAGAAAAAACACAGGTTATAATGCTCCATTGCCATTAGCATCCAGTTGTGCTCCTCAGACGCCGTTCTGAAGTCCAGCTGCACATCAGTCAATGGAGTTGTTTCTTCAAGCAAAATTTCAAGAAAACTCAGGCCTTCTCCTGGTTCTATACCATCTTGACAGGAACGGAGGTACTACATGGCACCTACAGTTGTTCTGGTCTCAGTTGTTCCTGCATATCATGTAAATCTGGATTAGAAAGTCCCTCCCAATTTGCAAGCAAGTCATCCCCACATGGCCTCGATCACTGTTGCTAATATTATCTGGATTAGAAATGAGTTTAGAAATTCCTTTTGAGCAACACTATTACTTCACACAAACTCTAGCCTGCAGCAGCCATTATAGACCATTCTTCTAGTCCAAAGAGCATCAAGTGTTCACAAGCTCTACAGGTGTGCTAACCTAAATAGAGAACACCAAACAGTTTTTATTCTAAAACAAAAGCTCCTCCTGCAGGAAGAGAGGAGGAGGATGAAGTACTTGTCACTCCACCCCCTTCCCAAAGATATACCGGTATATATATATAATGAGATGAGAGGAGCAAATAAATATAAAATTACAACAACCAGCACCAAGTGCATTAAGTGTTCACATATTCCACAGATGTGCTAACCTAAATAAAGAGGCTGCCAGTATTAAATCTACAATGCAAGCTCCTCCGGTATGAAAGCAGAAGAATGAGCTACTTGTCAGTCACCTCCCTTCATATATATGCACATACATACACACAAAAATATACATCTATACCAAAGAGGATTAAGTGTTCACAAACTGCTAACCCTAATAGAGAACCAAATAGTATTTACTCAACAAATTTCTCCTGTATGAAGGCAAAAGGATGAAGCACTTGTCACACACCTCTTTCAAAAAATATATAACAGTAGACTCTCTGTAGACCCTCAGTTAATCGGAACTCAAATAATATTTTAAATAAAAATAACATCAGATTGCTGTGAGTATGGCCATGTTCCAGAAGCATTCTCTCTGTATTATATTTTGTATAAAATACAATACATATTATATTGTATAACATACGATACATATTATATTGTATAACATACAATACATATTATATTGTATATTACACAAAAAACATCAATTTGTAAAATATAGCAAAAACAATTTTGATGATATTTATTTATTTCCATGTTTTATATGTTGCCCTCTCTCCCTTGTTGAGGGACTCAGAGCGGCTAACATATAGCATCATATGGCAAAAATTCAATGGCATTACATATAAATACATTTAAATAAAGCATATCAAAACTTATACATTCACCAAATACAATAATAAGAAATAAAACATTACTAAACAATCTCAATTAGAAACTGAAGTGGTCTTAAAATTATAATTAAAGCCACAACCAACTCATAGCCATGTTCCATATCCATTGCACTTAACCCAGCCTTTAGCTGTGTGAGATTAAGTTGGCCTTTCATTTGATTTTCATTCCTCTTATCTCAATATTAATGTCATATCAATACAGAGCTTGTGCTATGGTGTAGTAGAGGCATGGGCAAACTCCCACCTGTTAGGAATTGTGGGAGTTAAAGTCCAAAACACCTGGAGGGCACAAGTTTGCCCATGCCTGGTATAGTATCAACCAGGCCTATTTTTAAAAATAACTCTCAAGCAACCAGAAATTACATTTACTAGGAATCTACCCAACCCCATGGGTGCTGGTTGAGAGTCTACTACAGGCATGGGCAAACTAGGGCCCTCCAGGTGTTTTGGACTTCAACTCCCAGCTGTTAGGAATTGTGGGAGTTGAAGTCCAAAACACCTGGAGGGCCCAAGTTTGCCCATACCTGGTCTACTGTACACACACACACACACATATATACACAGAGAGGTGCAAATATATCTAAAACTACATCTATTTATTTATGACATTTATATGCTGCCCTTCTCACCCCAAAGGGGACTCTGAGAAGCTTAACATACACACACACACACACATACATATATAGACAGAGAGGTGCAAATATATCTAAATCTACATTTATTTCTTTATTTATTTATGACAATTTATATGCCGCCCTTCTCACCCCAAAGGGGACTCTGAGAGGTTTACAAGATATATACATACAATATATTATATTATTAGCATAGTACAATATCAGTATTATATATTACTATATTGTACTATACCATTATATTGTATTATTAGTAATATTACATGACATTTCTTTATTTATGACATTTATATGTTGCCCTTCTCACCCCGAAGGGGACTCAGAGCGGCTTACAAGATATATACACACAATATATTATATTATTAGCATAGTACAATATCAGTATTATGTATTACTATATTACACTATACCATTATATTGTATTATTAGTAATGTTACATGACATTTATTTATTTATGACATTTATATGCCGCCCTTCTCACCCCGAAGGGGGCTCTGAGAGGCTTACAAGATACATACACACAATATATAGTACAATATCAGTATTATGTATTACTATATTACTATATTGTACTATACCATTATATTGCAATATTATTAGTAATATTATATGTAATATAAAATAAATAATTATAATAGCATATTATTATTAGTAGTAGTAAATAATAATACAATATATTACATTATTAGCATAGTATAATATCACTATTATATATTACTATATTGAAACATTATTAGTAATATTACATATAAAATATATAATTATAATAGCATATTAGTAATAGTATCAGTATTATGTATTACTATATTGTACTATACCATTATATTGTATTATTAGTAATATTACATGTAATATACAATATAGAATTATAATAGCATATTATTAGTAATAATAATAATAAAACTTTATTTATACCCCACCATTATATTGTATTACATTATAATATTATATTGTATTACATTATAATATTAAAATGTTATATGTATATACATCAGGCAGTTAAGGCAATATTGGGCTAGAGGGAGCAATAGGTAGGATGTTCTAAGAAGCGTGCTGTGTTTACCTATCTCTCCCAACGGCCTTTCCCCATTCCTGCTTACTTCAACTCCTCAGGGGCCTCTTCCTTTTTCCCAGCATATTGTGAGCTTTATTAGGTGGAATAAGAATAAACATAGGAGGGGCCACAGAAGGGCTGCGCTTGCTCCATTCCCGCCTTCCTCCTCAGGCTCATCTATCCTCCATCTTCCTCCACCAAGCGAGGCTCGGCACACATCCTTCCCTTTCCCCCTCCTCGCTCCAACTGACCGTCAACCAGCGCCAGAATTCCAGCCACTTCCGCCCTGCAGCGCCGGAAGCGAACCCATGGCAACCGCCTGTCCCGCCCATACATCCGCGTGCCGCTTCCTATCCAGGCCCCGCCCCTTTCTGCCTCGGGTTCTAAAACCGTCACTGAAGCCACGCCTTCTCGCCTAAGCCACGCCTCCTTTTCCCCGCCTCTCTTCAAACCTCCAGATGGCCACGCCCCGCTTCTCCAGATCTGACGTTTCAAAATACGTCACCTCCTGCGTAAAGAGAGTGGCCCGAGGGGGAGTTCGATGCTCCTCGTAGTGACGTCAGTGGCCCCGCCTCCTCTTGACTGCTAGCCACGCCCACATTGTGAGACTCCTTCCTTGCCTCGCTTCCTCCCTGAGAGGTTCAGAGTCCCGAAGACGTCTGCGTGTCTCTCGCGCCCCCTAGCGGTGCGGGTCGGTTATTGCAGAGGTATGTTTCAACAGGAGAAATGGTGCATGGAAAGCAAAACAGTGGGTGGCTGTGAGTTTTCCGGGCTGGATGGCCATCTTCCAGAAACATTCACTCCTGACGTTTCGCCCAGGCATCCTCAGAGGTTGTGAGACATATTGCAAACTAGACAAGTGGGATTATTTATATCTGTGGTATGTCCAGGGTGGGAGAAAAAACTCTTGTCTGTTTGAGGCCAGTGTGAATGTTGCAATTGGTCAGCTTGATTAGCATCAAATGGCCTTGCAGCTTCAAAGCCTGGCTGCTTCCTAAAAAACATGTCAATTAGAATATAAGAAAACGTATAAATCAAGTTGGAAGCGGTATTTAGCACCGAGGAGGCTAAACATTATGAATAGAAACAATAATTATAAATTATATATAATAATTTATAGAAATTATATTCTATATCATCATAATAATTGATGATATAGAATATAATTTCTATAAAGCCCCCGGTGGGTTAAACCCCTGTGCCAGCTGGACTGAAGACCGACAGGTCGCAGGTTCAAATCCAGGGAGAGGCGGACGAGCTCCCTCTATCAGCTCCAGCTCCTCATGCGGGGACATGAGAGAAGCCTCCCACAAGGATGATAAAAACATCAAATCATCCGGGCGTCCCCTAGAATCATAGAATCAAAGAGTTGGAAGAGACCTCATGGGGCCATCCAGTCCAACCCCCTGCCAAGAAGCAGGAATATTGCATTCAAATCACCCCTGACAGATGGCCATCCAGCCTCTGTTTAAAAGCCTCCAAAGAAGGAGCCTCCACCACACTCCGGGGCAGGGAGTTCCACTGCTGAACAGCTCTCACAGTCAGGAAGTTCTTCCTCATGTTCAGATGGAATCTACTTTCTATCCAACTTTGATTAAATCATTATTCTAACCTTCTTAATGTAAATTAGTTTACGCATCCTTCCAATAATCACCATAGTTTATTTTTACTACTGTATACATTTGGAGGGAAATGCTGTGTGTATATGAATAAGAAATAGTGGGAAAGACTGATGCCAAGGAGGAGAGGAAGGAGAGCTGGGTTGCTGTGTGGAGAGGTGAGAGTCCTGGCAGGAAGGTGTGTAGCTGAAAGAAGCCCTTCTTTCAGCCCTATGCCTTCCCACCAGGACCCTCACCTGCGTATAAGCCGAGGGGACGGACAGACTGAAAATCCAGGTTTTATTTATTTATTTATTTATTTATTTATTTATTTGTATACCGCCTTTCTCAGCCCGCTGGTGACTCAAGGTGGTTATACTCGAGTAACCCAGAATATCAAGACAGATAATCCACAATATCTGCTTTGAACTGGATTATCTGGGGGCCCTTCCACACAGCTGAATAAAATCCCACATTATCTGCTTTGAACTGGAATATATGGCAGTGTGGACTGAGAAAACCCAGTTCAAACCAGATGTTGTGGCATTTTCTGCCTTGATATTCTGGGTTATATGGCTGAGCGGAAGGGCCCTGAGTCCACACTGCCACATAATCCAGTTCAATGTGGATTTTATACGGCTGTGTGGAAGGGGCCTCAGATAATCCAGTTCCAAGCAGATAATAAAAATTGTCTGCCTTGATATTCTGGATTATATGGCAGTGTAGAAGGAGCCTTACTGACTAATACCAATTTGGAGGGGGAGAGACTTTTGCCTAGTACAAAAAGGCTTCTTCATCACATACAAATATTCACACCTACTTTTATGTTGATTTCTTGAAGAATTAATGATGTAATGCTGTTGCCATAGTCAATTATAGAATCATAGAGTTGGAAGAGATCTCGTAGACCACCCCCTGCCAAGAAGCAGGAAAATTGCACAAAGCACCCCCGACAGATGGCCATCCAGCCTCTCTTTAAAAGCTTCCAAAGAAGGAGCCTCCACCACACTCCAGGGCAGAGAGTTCCACTGCTGAACAGCTCTCACAGTCAGGAAGTTCTTCCTAATGTTCAGGGGAATATCATTTTTTGTAATTTGAAGCCGTTGTTTGTTCCATTGTGTCCTTCTCTCCAGGGCAGCAGAAAACAAGCTTGCTCCCTTCTCTCAATGAGTTCCCCTCACATATTTACACACGGCCCTCATCATGTCTCCTCTCAGCCTTCTCTTCTGCAGGCCAAACATGCTCAGCTCTAAGCCACTCCTCATAGGGCTTGTTCTCCAGACCCTTGATCATTTAATCACTCTCCTCTGGACACATTCCAACTTGTCAACATCTCTTTTCATTTGCGGTTCCCAGAATTGGACACAGTGTGATTCCGAGTGTGGATTGACCAAGACAGACTAGAGGGGTAGCATAACTTCCCTGGATCTAGATACTATATTCCTAATGATGCAGGCTTTTTTTTTGCCGCCACCGCATCACACTGTTGGTTCATGTTTAACTTCTCCACGAGGACTCCAAGATCTTTTTCATGCGTGCCGCTCTCAAGACTGGCATCGTCCCCCATTCTGTATCTTTGCATTTCATTTTTTCTGCCTAAGTGAAGTATCTTGCATTTGTCCCTGTTGAACTTCATTTTGTTCATTTTGGCACATCTCTCTAACCTGTGAAGATTGTTTTGAATTCTGCTCCTGTCTTCTGGAGTATTGGCTATCCCTCCCAAAAACTCAACAGAGTTTTTATGTGAATACACAAGGTTATAAATTATTGTTCATGGCCTTGTACTTTAGGGGAAAAAAAACATCATTTTGGTAACTTTTTTTCAGGGGTTTTCTCTCTCCATTCTGCAGAATGCTAAGAATTAAAGGTTGGTTGATTTCCCATATTTGGAAGAAGTTTTTTAAAAAAATTCAAAAACTATCTGTAACAATTCTATAGAGGAAAAAATGGAGTGGGAACAAGAGAACAAGCCATGAGAAACCGAGAAACCGAGAACAAGCCACGAGAACAAAACCAAGAACAAGCCATGAGAATAAAGACAAAGATCCACCCAGAGGAAAAGTGTTCTTGCCATACATCAAGGGAACCACTGACCCCATAGGGAGCTGATGAGGAAACACAACATACAAACTATCTACAGACCCACCAAGAAAATCCAACAAATGTTACATTCAGCAAAGGACAAGAGGGATCCTCTCACCTCTGCAGGAGTCCACCAAATACCATGCAGCTGTGGACAAGTCTACATAGGGACCTCCAAATGCAGCATTGCCCAAACATGAATCAAGGAACATGAAAAGCACTGCAGACTACTTCAACAGAGAAGTCAGCCATAGCAGAGCACCTGATGAACCAACCTGGACACAGCATATTATTTGAGAACACAGAAATGCTGGACCACTCTCACAACCACCATGTCAGACTACACAGAGAAGCCATTGAAATACACAAGCATGTGGACAATTTCAACAGAAAGGAGGAAACCATGAAAATGAACAAAATCTGGCTACCAGTATTAAAAAACTCTAAAATTACAACAGCACAACAACAGAGAGGAAACAAACAAGGACTTCTAATCACCTCTCAACAAAAGTTTGCTCTAGGCACTGTCAAGCCATTATATGCTAATCAGGGTGGTCACACCTAGCTCCAGCAGACAAGAGTCCTTTGTCTCATCCTGGTCATTCCACAGATATATAAACCCCTTTTCCTAGTTCCAACAGACCTCACTACCTCTGAGGATGCTTGCCATAGATGCAGGCAAAATGTCAGGAGAGAATGCCTCTAGACCATGGCCATATAGCCAGAAAACACACACAGCAACCCAATGGAGTAGGTATTTTTTACCTTTTGCTTCCCCAGTTATTTCTTTTTAAATGCATCTTTTCAACTGATTGATGGCTAGGAATGAGGAATTTGTAGAGCAGCACTCCTGGAAACTGATCGGTTGCAGAAAGCAATTTATCAATGTTTAAACATGCGATCTAACAAATTGTTCACTAAATTTGCATCTCTCTTCTCCATACGCTCACCCACCACCATCACTATGTATGCTGTTCATTCGTCCGTTGCATGCAGTGGATTGTTTTTCTGGGCTGGGAGAAATTAATACGAAATTAATGTGTTCATTCAAGTAACAGGACATTGATCCACTTTGCCTTGTATTAGCATCCCTTTCCTTGTTGGCTCCATTCATCTAATTAGGCCTTGCATCAGATTCTATCCTATTTGCGATATATTATCTGAAGCAGGGCTGTTATGACTGTGGAGCTCCAAGGCTATCCATTTGAATATTAAAAAGAGAAAAATAACAGCCAGAAATAATTTACATAATGATCAAGTGGGAAATGAAAGCTTTGACATATTTAAAGATCTCCTGTACTGTGACTCAGTCATTAATCAAAACAGAGACTGTAGTCAAGAAATCAACTGAGGCCACCATCTACACTGGTATATAATGCAGTTTCATAATGCACTTAAACTACATTAAGAAACAGCATTATATGACAGTGTAGATGATGCCTAAGATGGGCAGCCATGAAGGAAATGGATAAGACCCTCAAATGTAACAACATAAGATTGAACGCCAAAATAAAAAAAATCCAAACTATAGTATTTCTGGGTTGCTTTGAGTTTTCCAGGCCATACGGCCATGTTCTAGAAGCATTCTTTCCTGACCTGCCCGATAATCTGGGATAAGAAGATA